ACCTGGAATTCCAGGACCCGGATGCCCAGGGGGAACAGGCTGCCCAGATCTTCCAGGATTGTGGAGTCTGGGCACCGTCCACATACGCAAGTATCCACGTGGGAGAGTCGGCCACCCATGTCCACCACACAGGCCTTGAGAGCCGTATCGACTACCTGCTTTTGGGTGGTACTGCCCATGTCTCCAGGGCTCGGAGCTATGTTGACCAAGGGATGGACAACGGCAGTCCGAACGATGATCATCGAGCTGTCGCGGTTGAACTCCAAGGAGAACTGTGTGTTGGACACCTACGCGGGCGCCTCAAGCGCCCTCGCTATGACCTCGACAAGATGAACACGGCGGAGGGGAGGAGACTAATGAGCCAGGCCTGCCGTGCATTCCAACAGCCAGCGTGGGAGGTTCACCCGGATGAACACTGCCACAGGGTAGAAGTGCACTTGAAGCAGACCCTGGAGACCTACTTCCCCAAACCGGAACAGCCCGGAAGAGCCTCCTACATCCCGAGTGAGGTGTGGGCGATCAGACGACGAAAGGGTCAACTACGGTGGCGAACCAGGCATCGACGCGGACTGTGGAGTGGTATGCTTCGAGCCGCTGTGCATGCTTGGAAGGAGGACGACCCGACCCCCTTTGTTGCCCGTCTCAAAAAGCAAGCCCTCCTCTACGACCTTGTGGCCGGGGCGGTTCGCATTGCCACGGACAAGATCCGTAAGATGATTGCTGCGGCGAAGGACCAATTTCTGCGCGGACTGGCAGCTACGGGGCCCACTGATGTGGCGTCCATCCTACAGCGGGCTAAGAAGGCGGGATTGGGCAGCAAGGCCCGCCAAATGGTTGGAAGGTCCCTGCCGAAGCTCATGAACCCTAGGACCGGGGCGGAAACCACATGCGTGGCTGAACGTGACACGGTATGGCTCCAGTTCTTTGGTGAGCAGGAAGTTGGACACATCCTGCCCACAACCCGGTTCATCCGGGAGGCCCAGGCCAGTGGAGATGAAGTCCGAGATGATTGGCAGTGGAAACATCTCCCGAGCACTGTCGAGATTGAGGAGGTGCTGCGAACGACTGCCCGCAACAAATGTGCAGGTTTGGATGGAGTTCCGAGCGATGCACTGCGATGTAGCCCGAGCGACTTCGCCAGGATGATACAACCCCTGTATGTGAAAGCCCTCTTAGGAGGGCGACAACCGCTTCAGTGGCGAGGAGGAGTTTTGTTCGAGGCATACAAGGGTGCTGGAGCCCAATGCGACGTTTCCAGCCATCGCAGCTTGTATATTTCAAGCTTCATTGGCAAATCCCTGCACCGTGTGATGCGGGGTAAGGTGCGGGATCAACTTGATGCTTTCTTGCATCCATTACATTGTGGAAGCCGACAAGGCATGCCTGTTCTCTTCCCCTCCCTGTTTGTTATTGAGCACCTGCGCCGATGCCTCCAACAAGGCCTGAGCACGGCAGTGATCTATGTGGACACAAAAGCTGCCTACTACAGGTTGGTGCGACAGCTAGCTACAGGTGATTTGGAGATTGATGCCAATGTCGAACGACTTTTCCATCGATTTGGCCTGGACGGCGAGGATATGACCGAGCTCCGGGACCTCATCCTCGACGGGGGCATGCTGCAAATGGCGGAGATTGACGGACCGATCCGGGCGGCTGTCCGCGATTTCCATCGCGACTCCTGGTTTACCTCCCGCTTCACGGATGGGAGCGCTATTTGCCGCTCTACAGCGGGATCAAGACCGGGAGCATCATGGGCTGACACGGTGTTCGCTGTGATATATGCCCGCATACTCTACAGAGTCCACGAGTGCATGGAGGGTGAGCAGATAAATTTTTCATTGCCGTGGAACCAGGAGCAGGGGATCTTTACTGATCAGCCGGGTGATCAATGGCAACCGGCCTTTGACACCACTTGGGCTGACGACAGTGCGTATGCCCTGCAGGCGGACACACCGGGTGAACTTCTGAGCCGAGCCAGCCGGGTCGGATCACTGATCCTATCTGCCTTTCGCTCCCATGGGCTCGACCCCAACCTCAAAAGACACAAGACCAGTGCTATGATAAAGGTCAGAGGCCCTGGGGCCAAGAAGGCAAGGCGTGAGTACTTTGGCTCTGGCAAGCCTGAGTTGGTCCTTCCGGACCTGGGCGAAGGCATTCCGGTCGTCCCGTCCTACAAGCACTTGGGATGTGTTCTCGACATTGAAGCCCGGCTCCACCTTGAGGCCCGCCACCGCACTGCGTTGGCAGCGGCGGCGTACGAGAAGGCCAAGGACCTGCTGCTTCAAAACAGAGACCTGTCTTTGAGTACCAGAGCACTGCTCTTCCAGGCAGCAATGGTCCCCTCCTACTACAACCTTGAGGTATGGATAGCGGAGGGGAAACATTGGGAGCAGCTTTGCGATGCCTTCTCACGGCTGGTCCGACGACTCCTTTGCCGCGACATCCCTGGGGAAGATTTATTCCGAGTTCCCCTCCCACTAGCTCACTGGGCGACGGATTGTTGGCCATTGGGGATGTTTGCACGGCGCAGTCGATTGTCTGCCATTGTTTCGCTTGCTAAGAAGGGCCCACCAGTCCTCTGGGCCATGCTGCAAAACGAAACAGACTTTTGTGCACAGGCCCGACGTGACCTGCTCTGGCTCACGCAGGGAGAAGAAGACCAGTGGCCACGAGTTGAGGCGGCGGCGTGGCCGCAGTGGTGGCACCTACTACGGTCCCGACCGCAAATGGTCAAGCGACGCGTGCGTAAGGCCAATGAGCGGGACTTCCAGTACTACAAGCGACGAGCTGCGAGTGATGTGTGCCAGTGGTACATGTACCGTCAGCTTCCCCCAGAGACTTGTGCGGAGGAGCCGCTGCAGCCCTGGACATGCGGCATCTGCGACAAAAGCTTTGGGAAGAAATCGGCGCTCAGTGTCCACTTCTTTGGGGTACACGGCCGCAAAGCTGAGTACAGGTTCTTCTTGCAAGGCACTACGTGCAAGAGCTGTGGGAAAAACTTCCACACCCCAGGGCGGCTGGAGGATCACCTCCGGGCTACTCGAAAGTGTGTGCGAGTACTACAGCGAGAGCAGAAACCTCTGGCACAGGCACCCCCAGGCTACGGTAGCCGTGGGAGGAGGAAAACTGAGGCTGACCAGTATACGCCAGCCCCGCCGACGATGAGCGTTGTGGGTAGCCATGACGGCAGAGAGTCGGAGGGGCGGCAGTGGAATACCTGGCAGTGCCAACTGCACGAGAGGCTCTGCGATACCCTTCTCGAGGACTTCGTGGTGGAAGAGATCGAGGAGCAAATCGAGCAACAGCTGAGGCGCCACCCCCTCTTCTACGACGAGATCTGTGAAGTTACGCAGCACCTGCGTGAGGAGATCGAGATGATCCATGCGGATCATGAGTTACAGCAATGGAGTAAGGAACAGTTTACTGCAATGCAGGCTGGGCTGCTCCACTACGAGCAAAATGGCTTTGGCAGAACTTCGAGGACTCAGCGAGAGACCCAACGCCTTTCTTCAAGGGCAACGTTCTGTGCCGCAGTAGCGAGTTTCGACTGGATGTCGGCATACTTGCGACTACGGGGTGACAACGGGACCCAGAAATCGCCGCTGTACAGCTTGTCTGATAGTTGGGAAACTGCGTGGCATCAGACATGCAGCGGCGAGATCAGCGCAGTCGTGGTCAAAGACCCCTTGCTTTTGCTCCCGCAGGAGCTGAAGGCCGTCTGGAATGCCCTCATGAAAGGTGAGTGGCCAAGACTGAAGGCCCCACAGAGCTTCTGGGAGAACTCCCTGGCAGCACCGTTTCTGCCATTTAGGGAGGACGACGCATGTTAATTAGGCAGCGGACACCACTGAATGCATTCAAATGCAAATGCAAAAATGTACGTGTGCACATGTACTGGTGCAGCCTTATGCATGTATACGTATGCTTGTACACAAATACAGATATGTGCACATGGATGGCTCTATGCATATGCAGAAATGCAGGCATGCGTAACCTGCCAACGTGCAAGCACGCCTGTATGCATCCATGCAGGAACGACACCATACTACTTAGGCACATTCACTTTCTGGCACCTCTGGGTAAACAATGGTAAACATCAGCGCATTTGTGGAGACATGATAGACATGGGCAGATAAACAGATACCTGCACAAGCGAACGGTACGCGGCAATCTGTACGTTATTGTGCGTGCAAAAACCACATCTCCCTATGTATATACGTATGTTTATGTTTATACTTGTGTTCCCACACACAAACAAACACACCAGTGTCAAAAGTATGCTTTTTGACTTACCTCGCAAGTTCCCAGCAGGAACGTAGCTGGATGCTTGCGGACCCTGGCTTTCTGCAACGCTGGATGCTGTTGACGCTAGCTACAAGGCTGTGTGCTGTTGAAGCTATTTACTGCGTACGCGCATGAACATGTACAGGCCTGTACTGACAAATGGTCGTTTGTGTGTGTGTGTGCGCGCCTGGTGCCTGCGTGTATCTGTATGTAAGCATGTATACATGTATGCATGTGTGTATGCACGCAACTATGTATCCGTGCGCCGGCTGGCGCTGGTCTGCTAGTCCTGCTGCGCGTATCAAAATGTGTTGTATCTGTATCAAGAAAAGACAAGCGGCTTGTCCGTAGGCTGCTAAGCCAACCAAGCCGGCACTCTAGACCCTGCCTAGGAATCCTAGATCATGCTACTCCACTAAATTTGGGGGTTTAGGATTACGGCTTCTAACGTTTAGGGGGTTCTTGTTACCCAATACCCTGCTACATCCCAAAATCATGAACCCTGAACCTGAAAGCCCCTGAGGCCTGATATAGGGGCCTTAGCAGACAAGCAGGGTATGGTGGCGTGTTGTAACTCATCTTTTGTGCTTACATAGTACACGATTGAAAAGGAACCCTGGGAATAATGGGATTTCACTATTCAGGAGCCTAGACTGAAGCCCTGGAACCCGCATAATTACAAGATCCCTTTCCAACCCTAATAGAGACGAGACCCTTCAAGGAACCACAGAAACCCAATGTATCCCTGTGTAACCAAAATCGATTCCGAGATTCTGCGCAGCCATCGCCAGGGCTTTCAGGGCGGAGCGGGCTTGTGTGACCTTGGATTGGGAATGATATTGTAAGGTTGACCTTGAGGGTTTGGGACGTAAGATTACGGATTTGAGGTTTAGGATTTCCCAGAGGGATAGGATCTGGGGTTTGGGGTTTAGAGCTTCTAGGGTTCAGGGAAGGCTTGCATGCGGTTTTCGGAGGGGATTTTAACAGGATTTTAGCGCGGCTTTGTACGAGTTTTATATGGCCCTGGAGACTCGGCTCTGAACCCAGGACCCTAAAAACATTGAACCAGACCTCCTACCTCCACCTACTGTAATCCCTTGATCAATGGCCCCCCTGCCGTAGATGTCCTCGAATTTGTAGAAAAGGGCTCCGGAAACTAAAGCCCTTGAACCCTAAACCGTTGAAAGTTTCCTGAGTAGCCCCTTTATAAGAAGGGTTTCTTGTTTCCTAACATCTGTGTGAATAAGGAGACCCCAAAACATAAAGGACAAGGACAAAAGGGTACCACTCAGGAATCTAGCAAACCCTAAACCCCATAGATCCCTTATGGAACCCTTTAAGGAGCCCTTTGAGAACCTCTTCAGGGTACAACTCAGGAAGAAAGGGCAGCTTAAAAGAAAACCCCCCGCCTGCTGCTCACGGATCTTTTCCTCCCGTGCCTGTGCTGAACAGACTAGGTTCCTGAGTGACCCCTTAGGAAACAGGGTTCCCTTTTTCCTAATACCCTACTTGATAAGGGGACCCAGAAAAAAAGCTAAAGGGTACTACCTGGGAAACCTGATAGGACGGTGGATTTCGGACTGTTTTTTTCACACCCGCTTTCGGGCTCTTGGGCGTAGGGTTTCACAGCATTGCTGACGGTGTTGTAAGGCTTCGGCTTGCTCAGGGCTTGTAACCTTCATGAGGTCTGAGATTTTTATGAGGTCTCATAAGGTAGGGTGTCTGGTGTTTAGGAGTGTAGAGATTTAGGGTTCAAGGCTCAAGACATGCAAATAAACCGCGAGTTTGGGCTTCTAGCACAAAACAGACATTCTCAAATCCGAAAACTGACCACGTGAAACCGGCGGGATCCTGGGCTTGCAAAACCCGACCCTACCTAACGGCTACGGAAACTCTCGGGCCAGGTATTTTGAACCATTGCTGCATCCAAGCATGCTCGAACCTTCTACAACCCCGTATAATACCCCATGAAACCCTGCTTGGAAGGGCAGGGGACTTAGTAAGTAGGTTATAAGTAGGGTTATAATTGGGGTAACTCCATTTAGGGTACTTATAACTCTACTTATAACCTACTTACTAAGTCCCCTGCCCTTCCAAGTATGAGGCCCTAGCCACCCTTAGAGACTCAGAGCCCCCCAAGCCCTGTACGAGGATGGAGGCCTTCTCGAAGCGCTCTTCGTCCTCTGCGGTCGTCACCTTTCCCGTGGCGCCGACTTCGACGAGCTTGGCGATGACGGGTCGGACCTCATCTGCGACCTTCTCCTGGCCAACTGGTCGGGTGCCAGGGCTTTCAAGGTGTAGGGGTGCTAGGGTTTTGGGTTTTGGGGATTATTCATGGTTCAGGGCCCAAGGGGTTTTGGGAATGTGGGTTCAGGCGTTTCGAAGGGGTTTTGGGTGTGGGGGTTCGGGGGCTTAGATCCCGGCCTTTGTCCGGGAGGATACAAAAGGACGAAATAGGGGCCTTAATAATTAGAATTGGGTTTTGGGGCCCATTATACTATACTATCATGCGGAACCCCGAGAGTAGTATAGGTATTTATGAAGACCCCTACAGTACTTGACAGGAACCCCCTTTGAGGCATCTACTGTTAGGACTCTCCCAGGAATTTGTGTCGGGTAGGAGTTGCTACAGGGGTCTTCATGGTTTCAATAATTTCTGGATCTTGTATTAACAAAAAAAATGAAGCATGAAGGAATTGTAGTGGCTCAGTCCGGGCTCCGACGAGTGGATCCCCAAAAAACGGCATGGAGTCATGGGATCCCTTCAATTTCAAGCGCCCTTTTCCGCTGGAGGGTCGGTTTCGGAAGGGAGAAGTACAGACTCAGAGCGTTACGAAAGAGGTGCGCCGCCGAATTCTTGAATTCTTTGACACCCGCAGGCGATGGCTTCGCTTCCTGAATCTGAACAGCACAACCTTCCACCTGTGAAACGTCAAAGCTCTCTTCCTCCACTTGACAACCCGAGAACCCATCTCGACATGATGAAACTCTGCCCGCACTCAGGTTTCGATCACTGTCTTGGTGATGTCGCTGAGGATGGGTACAGTGCACGGAGCTGCCCTGGGTCGATTCCTCTAAGATCGAGCTGTAAGCGCCCAGGATTCTGCGGGTGGATCCTACACGAGATAGCACGTTCTTGCAAGAGTCTGCGGACTGAAACCTGGAGGTCGGAGCCGGTGGGTTGCCAGGGCTTTCGGGATTTTCCCCAGCCGGTGATGACGTCGAACGATATCGATGCATGTCTCGGCATCCTGGCAAGCTGCCGCGGGACAACCTCTGCGAGCCACCACGACACCGCAAGCATCGCTGAACCACAGGAGTGGTCATGCAGATCAAGCCGAGCTCCACCTCTGAGCAACATGTGTGGCCACGTCTGGTCCTGCATGGCTTGATCAAAAAGCTGGAAACTCACCGTTTGGGGCAAAGCTGCTTCTATGGCTTGACCATACGCAGCTGAATCTAACTGTAGCTGGTTCCCTCTTATCGAGGCAAAAAGGTGCAAGGCCAGCTCCCAGATGCGGGCTGTGCCGCACGATTTGATGCAAGCACCATAGCTTATCTCATTCGGCACAACTCCGGCAGCCGGCATCTGTGACAGCAGGCACAACGCCATCTGCCACTCACCACCTTTCTCACAGGCACTGATGCCGGCGCTGTAACTGATTTCATTCGGCACAACTGCCGCTGCCGGCATCTGCGAGAGCAAAGACAGCGCCGTCTGCCACTCACCACCTTTCTCACAGGCACTGATGCCTGCATTGAAACTGATCCGATTCGGGACAACGCCGGCTGCCGGCATCTGCCACAGCAAAGACAACGCCATCTGCCACTCGCCACCTTTCTCACAGGCACTGATGCCTGCGTTGAAACTGATCTCATTCGGCACAACTCTGGCCAAAGGCATCTGCGACAGCAAGCACAATGCCATCTGCCACTCGCCACCTTTCTCACAGGCACTGATACCTGCATTGAAATTGATCCGATCCGGGACAACCGTGGCTGCCGGCATCTGCCACAGCAAAGATAACGCCATCTGCCACTCGCCACCTTTCTCACAGGCACTTATGCCAGCGCTGTAACTGATTTCATTCGGCACAACTCTGGCTGCAGGCATCTGTGACAGCAAAAACAAAGCCATCTGCCACTCGCCACTTTTCTCACAGGCACTGGTGCCAGCACTGAAACTGATAACATCTGCCACAACTCTGGCCAAAGGCATCTGCGACAGCAAGCACAATGCCATCTGCCACTCGCCACCTTTCTCACAGGCACTGATGCCTGCATTGCCGATCCGGGACAACCGTGGCTGCCGGCATCTGCCACAGCAAAGACAACGCCATCTGCCACTCGCCACCTTTCTCACAGGCACTGATGCCAGCGCTGTAACTGATTTCATTCGGCACAACTCTGGCTGCAGGCATCTGCGACAGCAAGCACAGTGCCATCTGCCACTCGCCACCTTTCTCACAGGCACTGATGCCTGCATTGAAATTGATCCGATCCGGGACAACCGTGGCTGCCGGCATCTGCCACAGCAAAGATAACGCCATCTGCCACTCGCCACCTTTCTCACAGGCACTTATGCCAGCGCTGTAACTGATTTCATTCGGCACAACTCTGGCTGCAGGCATCTGTGACAGCAAAAACAAAGCCATCTGCCACTCGCCACTTTTCTCACAGGCACTGGTGCCAGCACTGAAACTGATAACATCTGCCACAACTCTGGCCAAAGGCATCTGCGACAGCAAGCACAATGCCATCTGCCACTCGCCACCTTTCTCACAGGCACTGATGCCTGCATTGAAATTGATCCGATCCGGGACAACCGTGGCTGCCGGCATCTGCCACAGCAAAGACAACGCCATCTGCCACTCGCCACCTTTCTCACAGGCACTTATGCCAGCGCTGTAACTGATTTCATTCGGCACAACTCTGGCTGCAGGCATCTGTGACAGCAAAAACAAAGCCATCTGCCACTCGCCACTTTTCTCACAGGCACTGGTGCCAGCACTGAAACTGATAACATCTGCCACAACTCTGGCCAAAGGCATCTGCGACAGCAAGTACAATGCCATCTGCCACTGGCCGCCTTTCTCACAGGCACTAATGCCTGCATTGAAACTGACTACATCTGGCTGAGTTTGGCATGCTTCCATTTGCAGCAACAGTGCCAGCGACTGCTGCCACTTGAATCCACGTCCGCACGCCGCTATCGCGGCATTGAAGCTGTAGACGCTGGGAGCTCTGCTGCTCCAATATGTGTTTGACAAGATTTGGAGGGCTGCCTGCCACTGCCGGGCTCTTCCGCAGGCAGTGATCGCTTCCCGGAAAGCTTTCTCGTTCCCGCTTCGCGGCGCACTCTGTGCCAGATGAACTGCAAGCTGCCAATCGTGAAGTCCGCTGCTTGTCGCTACCGTCTTACCCAAGCCGCCAGGCTCTGCCGGGCGAGCAAAAGACAGCATTGCTGACCACCCCGGCTTAAATCCCCACTAGCACGATCGGTGGCTTGGTGTCAATGTATGCATGGTTACTTTTTGTTTCTAAGCTTACAATGCAAAGTACCAAAGCATATGGGGCAAAGGCCTTTGCAAATCAGAATCACTCAGAATCTGTTGATGGCCGGATCCTTGTGACTGTTTCGAAAACCATTCCCAACTGCAGCGCTGTTCAGGCCGTGGATTCAAGGGCTCCTAAAGTGCAAGAGGGGTCTCTGAACAGGCAATGTGAAGCATAGATCCGGCTAAGTTCTGGCATGGAATCTCCTCAACACCCCACATTCCCTAAATGCCAAGTTTAGGATTTATACCGGTTGAGGCTTTTGCTGACGAGTTTACCTCAACCTTAGGCATTCAATCCCAGAACTGGCCCATGACCCAAACCTACAACTCTATATCTTGCACACTATAGGCTGGACTGTGCATTCTTTTGCATCAGGCCTTCCCCACCGCTGGGCCAATCCTATGCCCTAGATGAAGAGCGCTGGATCCTGCAACCCTCAACCCTGAACCCGGAACCCCTATTTCCCCAAGAAGTCTTGGAACCCTTGTAGCCCGTTCAATACCCTAAAGCCCAAACCCCAAACTTGCAAGCCCTGCACTCTAGAACCCAGACCCCGTAGTACCTGTAGGAACCCTGAACCCTTCATGGACTTCCAAAAATTCGTTAACTACCCTGAACCCGAAACCCTAAACCCGAACCCCTAAAGCCTACAACTATGAAGGAGTTAGGATGAGGGGGATCCTTGGGCATGTCGACCCTCTTAATAAGGTCCCTTTCACCAGAAGTGGGGTTTAGAAGAGCTCTTACAAGGAACCATATACATCCCTTCAAGACTTCAAGGAACCCTCCTATAGATCCGTTAAAGGAACCCTTAACGGTCTCCTTGATACTACCTAGGACTCTAGACCAAACCCTAAACCCCAAACCCTAAACCCCAAAACCAAGGACCCTAAACCCAAAGCCCTAAACCCCTGTGAAGCCCTATGAAGCTCTTCCGGGGCGCCTGCGACAAGTTCAGCCTCGCCACATCCAAAGGCGTCTGCCCGTCCTCGTTGACCTCGGTTGAGGGCTTAGCGATCCGGCCCTTTTTTCTGAGCATAGCATTTAGGGTTTAGGGTTTAGAGATTGGGGTCTAGAGAGGTAGCATTTAGGATTTAAACTGGTGTGACCGGCTCTCGCATTTTCAAGAAGCTTATGCATCCTTGGATTGTATTGCACTGAACCGAATCGCACCTCAAAATCTGCCGGAGCGACGGCATCCAGGAGATCAGTGAAGCCCTTGTCCAAGAGGAAGGGAATAAAGGCTGCTCTTCCTTGGGTGTCTGCGTTTGGGAGTAGAAGGTTACTGTCGGCTACTAGGGTTTGGGGTTTCGGGCCGGTTTGGGTTTAGGGTTTGGGGGTCTACAATTCTAGAATACTAGGAATATCTGTCAGCTGAGTGCCATATGCTGCTTCACGCCGCTAGCCTTATAGCGATGATGAGCGATTCATCGCAGGAATTCGCAGGAGTAAGACCCTGATCTCAGAAAGCATGCAAGCGAACAGGCAAGAGCACGACAAAAGGTCGAGTGAACCATGCGTATAGGAAACATGTTACACCCCTAAACCCTAAACCCTAAACTGCAACCCTCTCGATCCGAGCACTAAACCCATAACACCGCATGAAACCTTCAGCACACCCTTTCCAATCCAGCAGCCATAAGCCCTCAGCCCAAAACCACAATGCCTCAAACCCTCAAACCGAACTCTCAATCGAATCCAGCCGCCGTAGCCCGAGGCGTAGTGGAGCAGCGTGTTGCCCCTCTTGTCACGAACGCGGGGGTCGGCACCCAATTCAAAGAGGCGCTCCAGGAGGTCGGAGTTGTCCAGGGCCAGAGTGTACCTGTCGGTTTAGGGCTGAGATTTTTCAGGTTTAGGATTTAAACCGAAGGTTTAAGGTACGGTTTGCGGTCTCGACTCCTGCCCTCGCACCGAGGTTTCACAGCGGAACAGAGCCTGAAGCACACCAGAGTGCAATCAACAACCTGGTGCGATAGGCAACTCGAACCTCCGAGGTTTTGGGTTTTGGGTTTAGGGTTTCGCACTCGCACACTGCAGGAAAGGATCCAGGCACAAGCGTCCGCTGATGCTGCTGTGACATGCTGGAGGACATCACCTAGAACATGAACCTTAACATCAAGGGGCTCAACACACAAACACAGCTTACCTAACAGGTCATACCCCATGCAAATACGCAGGACGGGAAGCAGCCTATCTCTCTCTCTCTCTCTCGAGCTCGGAGCTTCGTCAGGTCGTCAGGTGCAGCGGCACACCCTGGTCCTGTGTGCGAGATCCTCTCAAGTATGGAAGAGATGCACTAAATCACTTGCGTGAGCAAGAGCAAGGGCCAACATCCAAAAACCACAGCTTCTCAGAGAACCCGGCACTCCGGCTGAGGGGGTGTTCGAGCATGTGATATCGTCAAGTCTGTGTTGCTTCCGAGCTCTTCCATGGGGGGGAACCCCGTGCTGTCACTGCCGCAGATGAGGACAGCGAATGGATGGTACAAGAGTCGATGCGCTGCTGGTTTCCCAGAGACTTCAATATCCATTGGTATTCCTTAGCCTTAAATTATAGTAGGATCCCTAAAATGATTTGAGCGGAATAGTCCTTAAATCATTTTAGGGATCCTACTATAACTTAAGGCATACTACGGGATATTGGAGTCTGATAGCTTCTCAACTCTCAGGCCCGAAGTGCACACACGCTCAGGGCAGTTGTCGACAGAGCAGCTCGGCTTGTGTCGTGATGAACTGGTTCTTAGTAGGGAGTGGGGGAATGGATTATGGAGACTATTCTTAAACCTCCACTGTCTGTGGTTATACGAAGGGAATGGGGAAATGGGTTATTGAGACGATTCTTGGGGATTATATAGGGACTTCTATAGGGATCCATACCCCCCCATTCCCTACTAGGTATGAAACAGAGAACCGCCCAGGGTGGGTGCCACTGTTGCCTCCACTATGACTGTGACCAGTCAGAGGCTTGAGCCGCGAGAGGCGGGGGCTGAGGGTTTCAATTTATGAGGCATGCAAGGTTTAGGGTTTAGGGTGCACTTTTCAGCTCGGGGCTCGAAAACAAAAGCACCCTAGCCTTGAAAACGGAGTGCCAGTGCCCAGCCGCTTAGCTGACTAGGTGGCACCGGGGTTCAGGGTTCCAACATGCAAACCCCCAACTCTGAACTTCAGCCTAAAGCCTAAGACCCTGAAACCTGAAACCTCGCTCCCTTCATGGGGCACATGCTTGCAGGGATTCCCCGGTCGTCAAACTCGTCGATCTTACGCCCCTCCTCCTGCACATCGCAACCACGGGATAAGTCGAGAGGAGAGTTGCGGTTCGGGGTTCATAAAACGCTGGCCATGAGGAAACGTTTACACTGTCCATAACCAGGAGATGTGCTAAACTATGACTCCCAAAGTTGAGGGTACTGAGTCGTATCGCAGAGCATGAACTTTCCAGGGCGTGGCATGGCACAGCACCGTGCGAGAAGATGCGGCAAACACACAAGGAGAACGCTGGAAAGATGTTGATGCTGGCTTTTCGGCCACTTCTTGCCAATATATCCAAAACCTTAGTGTTTGGCTGAAACCTGTGGCGATCCGAGATATTTGGGCGATCCGAGATATTCGAGCTTTCAAACACCTGCCGGCAACTGAAAGCATGCACCACGTACAGCATAAAGAGTGCGAAGATGTCACAAGTTTCACTCGCAGGTACACAGATTGGCGTCCCAATCTGCTCTACGGAGTATCCACCGCTGTCTTCGTTGGTAGCAAAACTGTGGACTCCCTGCTGCCCCCTGCATTGTGAAAGTCAGCGAAATCAAGCCCTTTAGCTTAGAATCAAGGTTTACACACACGCAGACACACACACACTTTCTCTCGCTCTGTTTCTCTCACTGATCCATATCATGGGTTTACCGTGACCCCCACCAGTACACTGCATGTCATGTTGCACATCACTGCCGGAACTGATACTACTGCCAATGTAGTGCGCAACATCAACTAGTTATGTAAGCCCGCTGAAATGTCGTTCAGCATCACATTCCATACTGGGTGAAGCTGTGGTCCAGTCAACAATCCATTCCGCTTCTTTCAGTGCCACCTTTCCCTGTGCCGTGTTCCATATGCGTGTTGCGTTCCACGCTGTGACATTAGCTTCGCTGATTCTACTGAGTCGAATGACTTTTAAAGATTGCTGGGGACGTGTTGATGACTCGTTGTGCTCCGTTTGCGTCTTTCACGCTGTGGCTCTGACCAACACTCGTCCCCATGTGGGCATTTCAACTATTGCACTTGCCACTTGTTGTCTTGGTTTCGGGCTCCTCCAGCGTGCACTTGCCAAAGGACTCCAAGGGTGGGATGAAGGTAGGCGAGGAGATCCCCAATTAGGAGCCGAATATGGGAGTTTCCGAAAGTTAGAGGATCCTAATCTAGTACTCTCAATAAATAGTAGGATCCTTGTCATAAGGACTCCAAAATAGGGTACCCCTAATTCTAGAGGATCCTGAATCCAACCTACCTTCAGCCCACCTTGGGAGGTCCCTGAAATTATTCTCTTGCCGCCCTTGGCGCCAACCGAACGGGAGTCGGACCTTCCACAGAAGTTTCAGCTACCAGGTTCTCTGGTAGGCCTTTAACAATGATGACTTTCTTTTTCCTACGGTTTGGCTTTGAGGGAACCCCAAAAAGAAAAGGGGCAAAAGGGTACCTGGACGTTGGCTTCTTGCTGATGTAAACTATCTTCAGGGCTTGAGGATTAGCGTCCAAAGTATCAACAAGGAGCCTAAATATACCTTGCATCATGCATAATAATACATAACATGTAGCAGTCAATACGTTAATGCACATTCCTCTTACTAGGGGGCACGGGGCATCGTGAGCTTAAGAAGCTCCAGCAAAGTTGGGTTTAGTAAGTTTCATTTTGTGCAGTTTTCTATTTTTGTAATAATACGAATCAAGATAATGATAAATGTAGTAATAGTAGTAAGTAACACTAATCATATTCGTTGTAATAGTTGTCATAGTAGTAAGTAATGATAGAGCCGCTCCAGCAAGGTGGGGATGTGGTCCGCGCGTCCGGCAAAGACGGCCTTGCAGCCGAAAGGTTCAGCGCTTCAAGCGGGCGTCAGAGCGAGGGTGGGGGTTCAGGGGTTTAGGGTTTGAGTTTGAGGTTTGAGGCTGGGGGTCTAGAGCTCAGGTTTGAGGCGCAAGGTCGGTTTGAGCCTGGCATCATGGAAGCTTGCCTACTGGGCGAATGTCTGTGGTCATGTGGAAAGGATATACGGAGCACCTTAGACTAGAAGTTGAAACGTCTTCAGGACAGAAATCTGATGAGCACACGTCTCGTTGCAGGCAATGTCATCATCATCATCATCCTCATCATCCTCGTCACAACGGTCGCAAAACGCAACGATCGCACAAGTACAATGTGATACGAGTACTGCAGCAGGATCGGTTGAGGTGTAAGGTTTCAGCCTATGCTCCCATAAAACTGCCAAACCCCCAGGGGTGAGACGAAACAAGTTACTACCATGTCTTGGGGCCCTGAAACTAATGCGGAGCTTTCGCCATCAACAGTCGTGGGCCATCGGGGACCCTGGTTAATATAGGGGCCTTAATGATAGGGTTTTGGGGCCCATTACACTATATATACTTAGGAACCACCGAACTGTTTAGGCCCCTATGGTACCAGCCTCTGGAACGCTCTGCGGATCCTCCGGCTGGGCGGTGAGGCGCTTAACGCCGAAGGCCTGCGGGGTATATGAAGTCCGTCACTGTAGTTTCCGAAAATCAGGGGAGCCTTGTTTTGGGGTCCTTAGAATAAGGATCCTACCATTTAGGGTGCGATACTGAGGTCCCCTATATTCAGAAACTCCCGTATGGATCCGCAGATTTGGGCTGTATAAAAAATACTGGACATAAATCAAAGCAAACCGATGGGTATGCAGAGAGTTAGAACAGCTAGATAGCAACATGCCTAAACGGATACCAAGAGATAGACATGGACGGATGCGAAGCGGGCAGGGAATCAAGTGCGAGCAAACCGACAGATGGGAAGAGACGGCCATGCGCACACACCTGCATATCCACACGCATGCACTCAGCCGAACTCAAACACACACGCACACGTGCTTGTGATTGCATATGCATGCATGCACAGGTTCACACCTTCATATATGAAGGCGTGCATACATGGACGCCACCACCGTCCATGCACTCAGCCGTCCATGCGTATACACCATCAGCTCGACCAAGGAAGTGCTTACATGCACGTTGAACGTACTCGGAATAAAGCAGACCTAGACTTTTCCTTTCGTTGTTTAGAGTTAGAGAGAGAGAAAGAGAGAGAGAGAGAGAGAGAGACAGA